TCTCTCTCTCTCTCTCTCTCTCTCTCTCTCTCTTTCTCTCTCTCTCTCTCTTCATTTTCAAGTTTAATGAAACTCAGCCTATGTCACAAAAGGAATACCCCATTTCAGAAGCTAATTAGAGGTGGCCCAGAAATACAACTGAAAGGCAAAGGAGGGTAAACAACCAGTGATGGGGAGCTAGGAGATCCCACCCTGGGCAACACTCCCTTGTGTTCCAAACCTCTGCTGCAGGTGTGATGAATGGAGGATGGCATAGCCCTGGGAGTCAGAAGGTCCTGATCCAAGTACCACTCACCCACAGTCTTGGGGAGGCCCCTTTTCCTGCTGAGGCCCCAGCTGTCTCACTGTTACAGGGACTACAGCCTCACAGAGGCTTGGGAGGAACTTATGTGATCTTTTTAAGGCAGACATGCAGGTCGTCACTATAGAGGCCCGTGTCAAATGCCAATTGTGAGTTCATTTTTCAGAGGTCTTGCCTCTCATCTGCTTCTCAATCTGACCAGGAGCTGCTCCTTGATCCTTGAACCATTTCCCAAGCCCAGAAGAGATCAAAATCTGATGTTGTTTCTATATATATATATATCCTATATAATAAAAAATTTTATTATATAGGATATATATATCCTATATAATAAAAAGCTAATATGCAAATGGTCATCATGCCCTCACACGGTCACACCATAACGGCTCAGACACTCAACACTGGGGAGAGAGGAATGGAGACCAGCCAGGCACAAATGAGCTCAAGAGAGGAATGGGGACCAGCCAGGCTGCGGCTTCAGGAGAGGGACAAGCTGCCCACCCCGCGGTCCCAGGCACCTGAGGCTGTGACCCGGGAAAAGCCACCTGCCCACGATCCCCTGTGGCTGGCCTAGGTGAAGCCAGCCCGGGTCCTGGGTGCCTGTGGCCAGCCAGAGGAGGGAATACTGGGTCCCAGGTGCGGGATGAGGCAGAGGAGATTAAGGGCGATCAGGCCAGCAGGGGAGCAGTTAGGGGTGATCAGGTAGGCAGGCAGAGGTGATTAGAGGTGATCAGGCAGGCAGGCAGATGGGTTAGGAGCAATCAGGCAGGCAAGCAGGTGAGCAGTTAGGAGCCAGCGGTCCCAAATTGCGAGAGGCAGTCGGACATCCCCCGAGGGGTCCCAGATTGGAGAGGGTGCAGGCCGGGCTGAGGGACGCCCCCTCCCATGCACAAATTTCATGCAAATATATATATTTGTTTAATATAAAAGAAATTTCCCCTCAAATTGTTGGGGGGGAATGTACCCTCCAAGAAGTTGTGTCCTTTTTACCCTAGAAAACCACCAAGAATTCCCCCAAGTACATGTGCTCCAAGCTGATAAACACCTAGAAACGATTCTGGAGGAACCTTGAAGGGAGCACAATCCCCACCCACCCCTTGCTGCCTCGTCCACATGCCCTCATCATCATCCCAGGGAGGAAGAGCTCTGGAACAAAGACACCTACGTGAACCAGGAGTCCCAAGGAATGCAGAGTTTTGAGACGGAAAACAAGGTTAAAAGTTCTATTGTTCTGTATCATTCTCTTTTCAGACATCTCTCTCTTCTAAATCATTTCATTGCTCTTTCTTTCCATGTGCTTGGTGAGGTAAGAGGTGCATTTGGAGTCCAAACCTTGGTTCATAGTAATGAAGTTTCCTTTGATATATTTCTTCAGTTAAAAATCTCTAATCACTATTGGTGGGCTCATTGAGGATTGGAGGTTCAAGATCGAGGCCATCATGCATAAATTATAATAATACTTATAGAGAGAAGACAGAAGAAGCAAACAAGCTGGTAATGGTGAATTGAGTTGATTAGTAAAAGTCTTTTAAAATAAAATGTGATGAATGGAAAATATTCAGTCAGAGATGCCACATGAATTTGAATAATCAGCCTTTTCGTGACCTAACATTTGAAGGCATGAAAGAGAAGGCCATTATCCCATGAATGTACCAAAAAAGCAGATTACCGAGATAGTAATTATGGTGGCTCCTGCGGGAAGCATCCTAGACTGATGGTCCCGGCTGCAGCCCTCTGAAATTCATCATCACATTTGTTCTGAAGCCATGCTTTCTGTAGCTTCCAGGTGGAGGTTTCCTCCACCTCATTTAAATGCCCCGGGGAGGAGGGGTTATCATATCAAGGAAACACTGGCTATTTTAAGTGTTATTCATATTCCTTAAACTTCCTTGTGTTTTTTACTCAAGTAGGCTGAGTATATTATAAATAAACAAAATTTCATAGTATATTTTCCGCAATAAAGTCTGAGCTCTTTAGAAATCAAGCTCTAGATAGGTGAATTTCCACGTGTCTTAAAAGGCTTATTGTTGTAAACATAAAATACTTTTTTCAATGACTTTAAGTGGGAATCTCTTCTGGAATATATAAGATATATATACCATGTTTCTTCATAATAAAATATAACATTTCATTGATTATTAGAAGTCATTATCCTTACATCCTTTTAACACTCCTCTGTTTTGTCCTCCTCTCTTGTTTAAGTGAGGTCAATTTTAGTTGAGGTCCTTCTTCCATGTTCTGCTTAATCTTCATGTATATCCATAGACACAATATCCTCTTTAGTCAAGTTATTCAGAAAAAAGATGGTTTACTATTTGGCTTAATCTGACTAGTGGTAAAATTCCCCATCTTAAGGCCCTCTAGTAATTTCTCACTGTAGTTAGAAGATTAGCCAAACTCCTCTCTATTACCTACAGAGCCCTATATGGTCTAGCCAGGGGTGGGCAAACTTTTTGACTCGAGGGCCACAATGGGTTCTTAAACTGGATCGGAGGGCCGGAACAAAAGCATGGATGGAGTGTTTGTGTGAACTAATATAAATTCAAAGTAAACATCATTACATAAAAGGGTACGGTCTTTTTTTTTTTAGTTTTATTCATTTCAAACGGGCCAGATCCGGCCCGCGGGCCGTAGTTTGCCCACGGCTGGTAGCCCCTGCCTTTTCTCCAACTACTCAACCTTCATCCACTGTGGTCCACACACTAGCTTTCTCTGTGTTCCTCCAAACAGCCAAGTTGTCTCAGGTCCTTTGCATTTACCATTGCTACTTCCTGAAAGATTCTTCCCTCATTTTCACCTGACTGCCTCTTTCTCCTTATTTTGGTCTAAGGCAGTGATGGCGAACCTTTTGAGCTCGGTGTGTCAGCATTTTAAAAACCCTAACTTAACTCTGGTGCCGTGTCACATATAGAAATTTTTTGATAGTTGCAACCATAGTGTAAAACAAAGACTTATATTTTTTATTTATTTTATATATTTAAATGCCATTTAACAAAGAAAAATCAACCAAAAAAATGAGTTCACGTGTCACCTCTGACACGCATGTCATAGGTTCGCCATCACTGGTCTAAGGCCAAATGTCAAGTCCACAGAGAAGCCATCACTGTCTTCTACACCAAGTAGGCTATAACCCCTTTCTTGCTTTATTCCTATCCCAGAAATTAAAGCACTATTGGAATGCTTTAATTTGTATTCTTATTTATTCATTTGTATTGATATTCTGTCTTGCTCACAGCAATATAACATTTTGAGGAATAGCTCCCAGCACATAGAAGGCACTCAATAAATACTCTTGAAGAAATAAATCCTGGCTGGCTCATCTCCACACCTCCTGAAAGCTAATCTCTGTCTATAACGGAGAGTTCTGCTTTCAGTCTTACTACACATTGGGAAATCTAATGTAAATAATCAATTACAGCCCAGCTTGTATGGCTCAGAAGTTGAGCATCGGACCATGAACCAGGAGGTCATGGTTCGATTCCCAATCAGGGCACATGTCCCGGTTGTGAACTTGATCCCCAGTGGTGGGCATTCAGGAGACAGCGCATTGATGTGATTGATGTTTCTCTCTCATCAGTGTTTCCATCTCTCTATCCCTCTTCCTTCCTCTCTCTAAAATCAGTAAAATATATTTTAAAATAATAATAATCAATTACATAATATCCTAAGATCACTGTCAAAACATTAAGAAGCTGGCAATGTCCAATGTCATTCGATCCAACTTTGGAAAGAGACAAAAGAGCTAAGAGAATGTTTGGACACACTCTAATTTCTTGGATAGTTCAACAAGATATAACAAACAGCTTAAAATAGTGAATAATAATACAAGGAGATCTAAACATAAGTATAAAGTGGCACCAAAAAACAATATATGTTTGAAGTCTCATAATTTATTTTTAAAATCCAGATGAATTTTATATTCTAACTCTCTCTCTCTCTCTCTTTCTATATATATAGAAAGAGAGAGA